CTAATACATCGTGATGCAATATTTCCCCCGTGAGATACAAGTCCGTAGATATTCCTTTCAATATCGACGTGCCCGCTCCAACGCACAGCGCAACGGTTTTAATGTTACCGTCTAAAATGTAGTAATAATGACGCAAAATAGCAATTGTATATTTATATCGCCCATTGAGCTTGCAATTTTCTTTTTTAGCAATAAATTTTTATTTTTGTTAAGATCTCACGCGCGCACGTGCTAATCTTACGTGCTTCAGATCAGTTTGTTGCTTCATCAAATTTACTGCTTCGTCGACAGATACGCGGTTCTTCAAGGTACACAATTTTCCTAATCCATAAGTCGGATTACTGTCATTTCTTTTACGAAAAAGACGCACGGGCTAAGGATTGTAATTCATGTAGTTATTGTAATCCCTCACGAAAATATTACATTCGACGGACCACACGCGTGTAGTTATTGTAATACAAATATTACAGTGGCCAATTTATTATAGTAGCGACACATATTATAAGGCTACAATTTATTACAATACAAGTTATTACACAGATCGGAACATACACACGTGTGGTTACTACAGTATGTATAATATTATTGAATTAAAATTAAATTAAAATTATAATATTATTATATTAAAAAAGTTACAATATAATAAATACTCTAATTCATATATACATATAAATATCTATTAAGTGTGATATACATCCCAAAAAGGTCGGGACACCTAAATATCTCGGGAAATATAAGTTTTACAGAAAAGTGTTTTAGACAAAAGTAATATGGTTTAAAAATATTTATTTACTGATCCTATCAGTTTGACTTTGGGTTGCGTAGCCAAGGTCAGGTCAAGGTTACATTGATTTTCTTAAATGGAACACCCTATTTTTGATTCAAGAATCTAATAGCTGATGTCGAGAGATTTCCAAAACACTATAATGAAATATTTTTTCATGAAGTACTTTTCAAGTTATAATGCTTCAAAGTTACAATATTGCCGGCACTAGCATTACCCAAAATATTTAATTTTGGAGACTGGCCAGTCAAGGCGAGATCGGTCGGTGATCCGTGAATCTTGACCTTCAGTTAACGCACAAACAAAATGGCCAGTCTCCAAAATCAAATATTTTGGGTAATGCTAGTGCCGGCATTACTGTAACTTTGAAGCATTATAACTTGAAAAGTACTTCATGAAAAAATATTTCATTATAGTGTTTTGGAAATCTCTCGACTTCAGCTATTAGATTCTTGAATAAAGAATCAAAAATAGGATGTCCCATTTAAGAAAATCAATGTAACCTTGACCTGACCTTGGCTACTCAATTCAAAATCAAACTGATAGGATCAGTAAATAGATATTTTTAAACCATATAACTTTTGTCTAAAACATTTTTATGTAAAACTTATACTTCCCGAGATATTTAGGTGTCCCGACCTTTTTGCGACACCCTGTATAATGTAGGTATATATATTAATATTTAATGATACGCGGAAATAGTCATATAAATAT